TAATCCCATGACGGTACATATACACTCGTCACCTCGCATATACGTCGTTTTCCCACATAATTCACATAGCAAATAGTTCAACAAGTTCTAATTTCCCCAAGCCAAGGTTAGACATAACACTTACCTCTTTGCGCAATCAACCACGACCTTTCCTTCAGAGTTAGCCTCCAAAGCAATCAAATCTAGCCAAATATAGGTCAAATAATTTAAAATAAGCTTTAGAAACTATCCAGTAATGAAAAAGATTTGATCTTTAATGAAATTGAAAAAAGTTAACAAAAGTCAACCTCGAACCCCCTAATCAAAACCCGAGATTCGGACCAAAATTTGATTACCCATTCACCCTCGAGTCCGGTTAAGTGATTTATTTCGAAATCCGACCTCAATTTGATGTCTAAATCTCAATTTTATGAAATCCCCAAATTTTTATCCAAATCCCTAATTTCTACAATGAAAATCCTAGATTTGATGTTTAAAACTCACGAGAAGTAATGGAAAATTGAAAAAAAAAGTGCATTTAGGGTTGAGAAATGGTATAAAATAAGCTAAGTCACATACCCTCCCCCTCCTTTTTACCCAGCTGTAGGTATCGCAATTGCGAACTCTTGTTCGCAATTGCGACCATTGCAAATGCGAACTGTGCTTCAAAAGCTCAGAAGTCGCAATTTGCGACTAACGGATCGCAAATGCGAAGGTGACCTCATCACAAATGCGCCCAAAGCTTCGCAAATGCAAAACTATCCTAAGTTGCCAGAGGTCGCAAATGCAATCAAGATGATCGCAAAAACGGCCTTAGCCAGTTCACAAATGCAAACCATTTTCTTGCAAATGCAAGGTCACCTAGCCCAGGACCCTCCTCGCAAATGCAAATTATCGTTCGCAAAAATGAGGCTCGCAAATGAAAATCAGATCTCACAATTGCGAGATTTGCATCAGACACCAGAAAGAGGCATTGGACCAACAATCCTCAAACTATCCAAACTCCTCCATAACGCATCTGAAACTCGCCCAAGCCCATCGGGCTCCAAACCAAACATGCACACGAGTGTAATAGCATCATATAAACTTGCTTGTGCAATTAAAATACCAAAATAACACCCGAAATCACTAATCGGACATCAAAATACATGAAATTCAAAAGGAAACTTGAGAGTAGCAAGAAACACAACCAAGCGTCTGATTCCTATCAAACCAACTTGGAATTGCACCAAATTTTGCAAACAAGTTTCAAATAACAAAACGGACCCATTTAAATTTTCAAAATTAAAATTCAAACCCGATAATCATAAATTCAACCTACGGTCAAAGCTCAAACATTCAAATTGCTAACTTTCGACAAAATAAGTCGTATCAACTTAGGGATCTTCGAATTTAATTTTCGGCATACGATCTAGTCTAAAATCACAATACAAACCTACCGGACTTGTTAAAATACCGATCTGGGATCGTTTACCCAAAATGTTAACTGCAGTCACCTCAAGTTAGTTTTAAAACCAAAAATCACACCTTCTTAAAAAAATTATGTAAAAACTTTTCGGAAAAAGATATCGGCCACACACGCAAATCAAGATTCATCAAATAAAGCTAATGAATGTCTCAAAATACAGAAATAAAGGGTAGTGCTCAATACCCTTAGCGGCGTATTTCTCGAACGCAGAATGATATACATCTTCTTGACATATTTGATGATCAAGAAACATGTAGCAACACTCCATTTGAATCTTGAATGTTCTTAAAACTTTGAGCAAGACATATTTGACATGTCTTTGATCCCTTAATGAATGTTCCATGAGTTTTATGGAATTTCAGATATTTTATATTTGGTCTCTTTATGCATATTCTGGAGTTTATGAAATTTCTGAGATGGATTTTAAAGGATATATATAGTCTTATTTATAGGCATGAATTAGAGTTTGGGTGAAATAGTCACCAAGTAACCCTAATGAGCTCATCTTGCAGAGGCCCCCAATCCAAATTTTCTTATGCACTTATTTGATAAATTTTCAATGTCTAGAGTAGCTAACTAGTTAACTCAAGGTATCCTAGAAAACTTGAACCCCCAATACCTTGGTTTCAAAGTCAAGGTACACAGTAGCCAGCGGGCTGGATAGTATCTTTGTGCTAAGCAGGGTCAATAAAAATTATATAATAGCATTTTCTCGACAAAAGATAAAATATATCTATATACACACTATTAGAAGTGAGTTCATATGAACGCTTTTGACCCCTCATGGGTCCTCCCATGCTTGGTATATAATAGTCAACAAGATTTTTTTTGAGAGCATTAAAATTGTGGCATATTTCAAGAATATATTCGGTTGTGATTTCATTGGAACTCTGTCCCTAATAGGTAATATTTCAAAAGAAAATCATGTGCAAAACATGTACTTGTTGTGTGTATAAAATAAATATTGTAAGCAAAAATTATGCATCCAACAATAGTTCTCTACATCATTATATTAGTGTGACTTGATTTATTTTTTAAGCAATCACAAATTTATTAATTTTGCTATATCTGCTTATGTTGGCTTGCGTAAGCACTTGATAATTTAAGCAATTTGGACCAAATTATCCTTGATAACAGCTGAATCAATAAAAAAATTTTCTAGAGCATCGAAATTGTCACATCTCTCAAGATTCTAATCATGCCCGGGTGTGATTCCATTTCAACTTAATTAACAAAAAGGTAATTTTGCAAATAACTTTTTTTGCAGAATATGTGTGTATTATATGTATAAAATTATTTTCACAGGAGAAAACGTACATCTTACATAGTTCTCTATATTTTTTTAAAGTAATATGACTTTATTTCTTTAATTATTTGTTAATTTCTCTTCTAAAGGTTGATGTAGTCTTGAAACCTCCAAGAGCTCACTTTCAGCGATAATCAATTTCATGGAATATTTTCTTCTTGTCAAGCAAGGTTGTCCTCTTGTAGGCTTGTTGATAATCGGCTCACTAAATAAAATTCCCCTCCATCCCCCCCAAACTTTCTAAACTCATATCTGTTGGATATCTTTATATTTTGAGGAACAACTTCGAAATTCTGATTTCTTTTAAGGCGTTGCTAATCATTCAAGCTTTGTAGTGACATTTGCAGATAAAAATTTTGAATTTCAAAAACTCAGCATCGTGGGTTCTACTATTCCTATGGAAGGGATCTTTTTCACGTCAAACAATACTCATCTTCAAACATTATCTACTTACTATCAAAATAAGTTGAGATATCATGATCCTTCAAAAACCATTTGGAGGAGTTTTTCCAAATTAAAATGGATCATTTAATCCTCCCTCACACGCTTAACCCAATATTAAGGTTTTCAATACATTAGAAAATGGATTTAAGTGGCCAACTTCAAGCAAATATAAGTTCATTATTACTGAATTCTCGTAGTATTAAATAAGGTGATAATTATATCGAGAGCTACGTTATCTTCTAGCATTTATAGTATGATAAGTCTAAAAGTATTAGATTTGTCAAATAACTAATTTTAAGCAAAATTACCCGCACAACTTATCATCACACCATTACAAGTGTATTTGCATTTAGATAAAAACAGATTCGTAGGTGAAATACCAAAAATCTCTTCTTCTAATGATTTGATGATTCTTGAATTTAATAGTAATCTCTAGCATGATTCTGGAGTGGATGGGTCGGATTGTTGTTATTTTTTCGTTTCAAAATCAGTCTTATTCCTATGGAATTGTCCAATCTTGGTGCATCTTTTGTCTTAAACTTATAAAAAAAACTAGTTATCCAGTTCAGTTCCATTTTATTTCAATCAATTGGAATCATAACACATTTTAAACAAAAATCACATAAGTGGCAATCTTATACATTATTTCTGAACAACACTTCTTTATTAACTTTGAATATCAGAGATACCGACTTCCTAGGAAGTATTGACCAAAAATCTTTTTACATTGAATATTCTTTTCTCTCCAAATTATGTTTTTTTATTAACGGAAAAATAGTTACCCGTAATAAGCATGATGATAGTCCTACCTGCCATATCCACGATCACCATATTTGTCGATTCTAATACATAAATCCCCCATAAGCTCTCCGGAACCATCACTACTCTCAACAACTCATTCTCCAACCCCTGCACCATCTAAAGTAAAGTTGTTGGTGTTGCTGCTTTGCTAACTCTTATTTTATTTATGGAGTAAAATTTTACTAGTATTGTACCTATATAGGTTCATCACCAGTTTGTTTGAACAAATTACTTTCTAAAACTTGTAAATAATTGTTTTTATTGCTAAAATATATGATCTTGACTTCTGAAAAAAGAAAATATTTGTCTTCTTAAAAGCAACCAATTTGAAGACGACATTCCAAATTACCTATGACATCTACAAACTTAATAGTAATTGACTTGTTACCGGTTCAATTCATTATTACCTGAGTAATATAAAAAATGATATTGTTCTACATTCAACTAGCCACAATTTGGGTAGTGGCGTTTTGGAGGTATTGTGTATTATCTTGTAAAAATCACATATCTCATTGACATCATATTGAGGTAGAATTTACAACATAAGTACTCCTTTAATTATTATATGAAGATAAGCATCCTACTTTACATGTTTAAAATTAGTATTCCTTCAAATTTTAAATAGAGAAATATATATCCAGCTTAAAACTTACACGAGATACAAGTATTAATTTTTTTGCGTAACAAAACAACAAATAATAAAAATTCTCTTCCTTGATACTCCTCTCCAAAATCCTTAATGAAAATAAAAATTTATCCAAATTTAACTAGTGTAAAATCAATCACATAATTTATATTATACGTAACATATTTTATTTCAGTCCAATAATCAGAATATCCATCGGAAAAAATATATTCACTAAATAATTTTATTATTATTTAATCCCCAATTTATAATCCATGCATTATAATTCCTGTATATCTTGTTCATAAACCAAAACATGGGTTGCATTTGACAAAACAAAACGAATTGCAGCATGAATATGGAACAGTGGAAAGTAAGAGGACCAAATTAGATTAGAGAAAAAGAGTAGTAAATAAAACGAATAAAAGAAAGCCAGGTAGGGACTTCGATTCCCGGCGTCGTAGTCTCAGGTTCCGGCACAATTCCACTGCCATCTCTCTGTGCTCCTGCATGCTTTTAGGGTTTCGATTTGTTCAAAATCTCAATTATCTGTAGAGGATCTCAAAATGGTGAGAGGCTTGCTTCGTAAGCTTGGCGCTCAGTCACTCACCATCGCCGGAAAATGGCAGCAACAACAGCTCCGCCTCCTCAACATCCACGAGTTTCAGGTTATTTGTTTCCGTGTAAATATGCTGCCTATGCCTTTGTTGCTTAGGTTCCTAAAGAGAATAATATGCTAAATATCACTTTTGATTTACTGTGACTTTAAAAAAATGGATCATTTGCGTTTTTGTTGCTAACTGTTAATCAATCATTTGCTGTTTGTAAAGTTTGTGAAGTTTTGCTTGTTTATCTTATGCTGCTGATGCTGTGTATATCTCCATTGCGTAGGATCTTAGTCTGGTATATCTGATAACTAAAAGACAATAATAATCAAATACCAATTTTGATCTAATCTGGCTTTTCAAAATTGGATAAAGAAGGCTCAGAAAGATTATTTGAAATAGAACATTTGTGTTGACATCTATGTTGCTAGGACTCTCCAACAATGCTGCTCCACCCGTATTGGATCCTCCAAAAATGCATTACTTTTGGAGGATCCGACATGCATAAGACGATATTTGAAGAATCCGAGCAACATAGGTTGATATGTGGCTACTAAAGGGCCCACACGGCTTTGATCTAGTGGTAAGAGCGCAACTTGTGATGTGTGGGTTAGGGGCACGTCATGGGTTCTGATATTTAAGTGGAGAAGGGTAGAGGGGCGGGCTCATTGTCCACCGAGTTTCGAACCATATGCCGCTGGCCCTTGGGTATTTGTCGATTATTAAAAAGAAAAGAAAAAATAGCATGTGGCTGCTAAATGTAAAGCAATCATTTGGAGTGTTATAAGTTTGTGATGTATATGGTAGTGAACTTTTTGCTTGCTTATTAATTTAGGGAGCTGAGTTGATGGGCAAATATGGGATCAATGTTCCAAAAGGTGTTGCTGTTACTACCCTCGGAGATGTGAAAAAAGCAATTCAAGATGTAATACCTGATCAAAACGAGGTAGTTCAAACGATGCTTCCTTTAATTAGTAGTGATTATCTAATGTATGACTTTAATTTACAGCTGAGGGCAGCGTAAATGATTTCTACTTTTCTCTTTTGGGTGATGCAGGTGGTTGTTAAAGCACAAGTCCTTGCTGGTGGACGTGGCCTGGGAACTTTCAAAAATGGATTTAAGGGTGGAGTTCACATTGTCAAGACTGACCAGGCTGAAGAAATAGCTGGTATTAAAGATCTGCCTCTACTAGATCTTTTCTGTAATGAGATCATCATGCTAACTAGTAGACCTTATGTTGTTTTGGGTTTTGATGAAAGACTTAAATTCTATATCTCTAATTTAGGAAATTAAGTTTCATTTTTGGGATGCATTAAAAAGAGTGTTGTTTCTCTTATCCAACCAAAAAAAAAAAAGATAGAGAGAAAAAAAAACAGAGCTTAGTTTGTATGACATCTAGTTGCTCAGTAGCTTTGCTGAACCTTTATCTTGCTTGTTACGCTACCTGGAAACGTAAGATATCTGTTCTTTTGGTGGTATCATTTTGTCCTGTGAAGTTGCAACGTAAACCATTTTTTTTTTTGAGTAGCTGCAATGTAAACCATTTTCAAGATCATAAGACGCTCAAACATAGAACATAATACTATTTAACCTTTGGATGGCTCGGGATTCTGTTGGGCTACATTGAGTGCTTTTACACTGCTATTGTTAGTGCATATTTTGTTTTGATTGACAAGGAAACTATATTGTTGTGTCTTGTCTCTCAAGTATTTTTTTCATGCTATTTAAAAAAAGAAAAGAAATTGTAATGCTGTTTAAATTTATTGTGGTATGTGTAGTGAGGTTATTCTGGTTGGCCGTTGTGTGCAAGTGGCACATCCTTGCAATTGAAACTGATTTAAGTGGCATTTTTGGCTGAAATGTGAGCTGGTAAAGATAAGAATTATAATATTTTTTCTTAAATGGAGCCTGGCAATAAGGGATTTAATTGAAACTGATAAAATTGAATTCTAGACATCCATTCATGGTTGAGGCCCGTATTCTAGTGAAAGAATATGCTGAACCTGTTTATGTTGGGCTATTTCAAAGGTATCCGGGAGAACTCTTATCATAACATGGTAGTTTTACAAGCACAAGCATTGTCTGCATTGGTGCTTTTGAGATTATCACTGTAAAATGCTTAAAAAAAGTTTTCCAATTTGCTCATGCTGTTGGTTTCAGGGAAGATGCTCGGACAGATACTTGTTACTAAACAAACTGGAGCTCAAGGAAAAGTTGTCAGCAAGGTTTGCAGTCTTTTCCCCCATTTACTCGTCAAGCATATAGAATGATAAATTGATAACTCATAAATCTGGATTGTTAAGAATATCTGCACTTGACTTTGTCAGTTGATACCATTGTTTGATTTACAGTTTAAACCCTTCCATAAGCAGTTCAATGAATCCACTTCTCTTTACTTATATTTTATTCAATTGAAACTTATTTTTTATTTCCGATTTGTTTGCTTGTCATTGCCCTTTCCCTTTATCTTTCCTGAGCCGAGGGTCTACCGGAAACAACCTCTCTACCTTCTTAAAGATAGGGGTAAGATTTACGTACACACTACCCTCCCCAGACCCCAATTGAGTTTTTTGTTGTTGTTGAAACTTCTTTTTATACTTCAAGTTTGATGCTTCATAAGTTGACTCAAGTTTCAGCTCTTGTGGAATACAAATTATTGATTAACACACCACAGTTAACTAATGTTTTTGTTGATGTCACTGCTAGATATTCTAAATATATAATTGTTAGCAAAACTTTCATTTAATTTTGTCATAAGATGTAATTTCTGATCAAACAACACTACTCTAGTAATGCCATAGTGGTTCTGGCCCCAGGTATGCCACTGCTATTACTAGGATTACTGGGATTTCTGATGTTCTGTTATATGAATTGTGCAGGTTTATCTTTGTGAGAAGATGTCCCTTGTGAATGAAATGTACTTCTCTATTATACTTGATCGTGCAACTGCTGGCCCTGTAAGTTTCAAAACTTGCTTGGGCAGTTCAACGTACTCCCTGATTAATGTTAATATTTGAGTTTGTTCAAAACTCATGATGCTGCTTATTGTTTCCATTGCATCACTTCATATTTATCCAACACCATGGTGAATACCTAAAGAAACTAAAAGTAGAAAGTTAGAAAGAATGAAATAGTCAAAAAAGAGGGAAAAAGAGTTTTCTTAAATAACCTTTTTTCAAATAGAATGTTTATCCATCTCAGTCCATGTCAAAATAACGTCAACTTTATTAGAAGGGTAACTTTCAGGCATATTATCTTCAGTGTTGTCCAAGGCAAAAAGCTCTAAAAGGCGCTCGAGGTCAATTGGGGCTTTAAGCGCAAAGCCCAATTTAAGTGGGGGCTTTAGTTAAAAAAGGCGCAATGCAAGAAAAAATAAAAATATATATGTAATTCAAGAGAAAAATAACAAATTCATTTATATTGTTTTCCTTAACAACTAATACACTTATTTGCCGATTATATTTAGTCTAGCATTGCTCCATTCAAGATAGAACTCATGGGCAATAAGGGGCATGTCTTGGTGCCCTGCCTATACTGAAGCGCAACTTAAGTGAGGCGAAGCGCCCTCCCTGAGCTTTTTTGAGCTTTAGGGCTTAAGCGCGCCTTAAATGAGCCTTTGACAACATTGATTATCTTCTACAGAATAGTCATATGTACATTGGCACATCTCCGCTATCATATTCTTCGATAACTAAAGTACCATCTTGGCATTTTTTCCCTTTATTAAACAGTGAACATAGTACATTTTCAACTTTGATTTTGATAATCATGCAAAGGCAAATAAAAACATTCAATTTGAAAGGGAGTATTAATTACAGTAAGATTCTGATTGGAAGATGAAAGAAAACTTATTTAGATACATGTGCTGTATTGTATATCTTCCATCCTAAGAATGCAATAGCTCACTGTTGCATGGAAATTGATTGCATATTTATTGTTATATATCAAGTATGCCGGATGCATGTATTCTTCATATCTAGTCACTGGTCAGTAGGTTTCTATCCATACAACTCGCTCTCATTTCTAATTGAAGAGCAAGTCATGCTTGCTGTTCACCTTTGGATGACTTTGTAAAGCATCCAATCGTAATTGACAATTCCTAACTGCTTATCTTTTAGGAAGGTCATGCAAAAGGTGGGAAGTATATATATTGGTTCATTCCACTTCAAGAGTAAAATGCATCTAGATTGCAAGTAATTACAAATTTCAGGATACAACCCTTTTCACTTTAAGTTCTTATTTAATTAAATGATTATGAGGGACTGTTATCTCCAAAAGCCTAATTGGTACTTCTTTTCGTAATGAAGTTGAACAGGTAGATACTGGTAATTGCATTAAAATCAACCTCTTAGCTAAGTTGCTCGCTCTTGCTTTCTGTGCCACAGCTCATAATTGCCTGTTCAAAGGGAGGTACCAGTATTGAAGACCTGGCTGAAAAATTTCCTGACATGATTATAAAGGTTGCTTTTGCTTCAATGTTCAAATCCAACCTCTTGCAATTTGTTTCGTGCTATTTTTCTCAAGTAAAATAGTTTTTCGTTTTGTAATTTGCAGGTTCCCATTGATGTGTTTAGAGGAATCACTGACGAAGATGCTGCGAAGGTCGTCGATGGTTTGGCTCCTAAAGTAGCTGACAGAAATGATTCAATTGAACAAGTGAAAAAGTTATATAAAATGTTCTGTGAATGTGACTGCACAATGTTAGAGGTAAGCAGTTCATGAATTCTTTAGGGCTTTCCTAGAGCCAACTGTTCTGCATGTTTAGAGTTTGTAGAAAACATGCCATTAGAAATTTTCTTTTCTCCCTATGTCCCTAAATCTGTACCGGTCTTTTTTGGGCACTGGGCAGATCAACCCCCTTGCTGAAACATCTGATAAGAAGTTGGTAGCTACTGATGCTAAGCTCAATTTTGATGATAATGCTTCTTACCGTCAAAGAGAAATTTTTGCTCTCCGTGATTCATCACAAGAAGATCCTCGTGAGGTACTCCTTATACTTTCTTTTGAATGATGACATGCTTCTTTTGTCCTACGCAAGTATATACAAGTTTTCATCTTGGGGCTGACTGTTGTTGTTTAACTCAGGTTGCTGCTGCAAAAGCTGATTTGAACTATATTGGCTTAGATGGAGAAATTGGTTGCATGGTGAATGGCGCTGGATTGGCAATGGCTACCATGGATATAATTAAGCTTCATGGAGGGACTCCGGCCAACTTTCTTGATGTTGGTGGTAATGCCTCTGAAGGACAAGTATGTCTAATTTCTTGGTAGTACATCATGAAGAATGCTTGTGGTCATGTCTTTCCAGATATTGGTCTTAATAATGACAAATAATAGAAATAATAAATCAACATTCGTTCAGAGCAAAGGTTCAGTTTTTGGCTTAAAAATGTGTTGATTTTCTTTCAAAAGTTTAAAATTTCTCAGTACCTTTAACTTTTTTCTCTTGTATTCAAAGTAGGTTGTGGAGGCTTTTAAAATTTTGACTTCAGATGAGAAGGTAAAAGCAATCCTGGTTAACATCTTTGGAGGAATAATGAAGTGTGACGTGATAGCCAGTGGTATTGTCAATGCGGCCAAACAGGTTCGTGTTGTTTTAGCTTCGGTGATTGATCAGGGTTGTGTAGATCAAAGATGCATTCTCTTTCAAAATCAGCCTTTGGTGTCTGCCATATTCCTTGCTAGACATCAATAACGAATTGCCCTTTTTACTGAACCCTGTTTCCTGTTAATGATTTGTCTTTTCCGGAGTTCTTTTAGCTCACCTTTCCCCCCTAATGAAGAAAAAAGAGCAAGAGGAGGAGAGGATTAAAACGTATCTCCATCTATGACCTTGAGATTGCACGAAGCTTCATGCAGATATGCTGATTCTTCCATTTTTTCTTAAGGTTCAATTGAAAGTGCCAGTGGTTGTTCGCCTTGAGGGTACCAATGTCGAACAAGGGAAGAGAATTCTAAAGGTAAATTCTGAATTTCATCCTCTAGGCAGGAACTTATTTACTGCACTTGGCAGTTGCTAATTAATGTTTCCATCAGAGAATTCAGTCTCAAGTGGTAATTGCTTTCTGACCTGGTTTGTCTGTGCAGGAAAGTGGGATGACCTTGATAACTGCCGAAGATTTAGATGATGCGGCTGAGAAAGCAGTAAAAGCAACTGCTAGTTGAGTGGAAACCACTTTTATAGTTTTATTTCACAGTCTCTCCCTTTTTGACAGGAAACATCTGAATGTCCACATTTCAAGTGTACACGAAGAAAATAGGGATTAAATTCTTTTTGATAAGACTTGGAATAAGCTTGGTGTTATTCAGCTGTGACCTAACTATCGGTCCTATTGATCCTTATCCCTCTGATTTTACCCTTTCTTTATTGATGATTGTGTTGTTCCCAGCTTCTGGAACTTTGAGAGTATCCTAAAAATTACTGGCCCTAAGAACCGTATTTTTTTGTGGTCTTGTCTATAAACTTAGAATAAGCCTTTTAATATCTCCCAGTTAGCCATGGGAATTATTATACATGAGTAAAGTTGTTCAAATTGATTTGGTTCCTAGCCAAGAAATTCTAATTGTTGCGTCTAGGTAAATTGCTCCACCTACTTTATGAATAGGGCAAGCATCTTTTTCGGCATAATCTAGTTTCGTGTGCTAGGCACTGGTTGAATTTGCATGGAGGTGGATAGCTATCATTGAATGCAAAATGGTAACAGTTTAGTTGCATTTCTGTTTTCAGTGCATCGATTGCAATTGAAATGGTAAATTTTATTTCCTAGATAAGATTTATTCTGGGGTGAGGGAGACACATTTATGTCAGTTACATATGTCTGAAACTAGCTTTTCATTATGCATCGACTCTGCTATTCTCTTGGCAATGCAATAAGCAGTGGACTGTATAGTGATCATTGGGTTGACACCAACTGCAGTAGGAAGCACACTTCCATCGCATACATATAAGCCTTTCGCTTCCCAGCATTCTCCATTCTCATCCACTGCTCCATCTTCCTCATTCGCCCCCATCCGGCAGCTTCCCATTTGATGTGCAGAGCCATAGATTGTCCACTGTTCTCCTTTAGAGTTTGGCCCTCCAGTAGCTCCAACTGTGTCCAGAAACTCTTCCAACTCTTCATTCTTGATCCCTTTACAACTGATTTTCTGTCCATCGCTTTGATATGTTCCCACTTCAACAGCTCCTGCTGCTACCAGGATCCTCAATGCCCTTCTTAAACCTGCTTTGATATTCTCTTTATCAATTTCATCCAATCTGTACGCTATCCTCCCTGCCTTCTTTACTTCTCCTGAACCTTGATCTTTTGCCAATGCTAACAGATTTACTGTTCGTGAGTACTTTGTCATCCTCTCCTTCATATCCTGCCCAGAAGTCCATGGGAAAAGGACGGCGAAAATAGCAGGTCCCAGAGCTGTAGCTTCTATTATGGCCCGTGCATTAGTTTCTTCAGGTACCATCTTATGAAGGGATGTCATTATTCCTCCCTCGTAATTCTTACCTTTGAATTCAGACATGGATTCGGGGAAGCATCCCCACGCCAAAAGAACAGGGTGGAGGTGGAGGTTTGTCCCAATGTTCTTGTTCTTCAGTCCACTGGAAATCAGTAAGGGAGGTGTGAAGAGAGATCCACAGGAAGAAATCGTGGCGCGAGCTTCAATATGCAGCTTCCTAGTTAGCTTCTTGCTTTCAGTTGTTGCAACTACTCCAAGACATCTTTTTCTCATCTTTCCATCCATGTCATCTTCCAGTATGAACCTTTCTGCAGTGCATCCAGTCAAGATAACAGCGCCTGCGTTAACAGCATCAACAAGCCAAGTGGTATCAGTCCCTTTCTTGTCTCCTGTTTTACAACCATAACCACAAGAACCACAATAATGATTCTCTGAAGAATTTCTTGGTATATTTTCCACCTTCAAACCAAGATTTTCACACCCTCTTCGTATTACTTGATTCTGAAGTCCTTCGTTGGAGCAATTCTCCGTCACACCAATCCGTTTGCAGACTGCATCCATGGCAGACTGATATTCAGAAGTTCCAAACCATGGAATCTTGTGCTTCACAGACCAGTCATTGAGAACATCAGTTGGAGTTCTTAAGGAAGCAGACCAGTTTACAGCAGATCCACCACCAACTGTTGTTCCAGCCATAATCATTATTTTTCCATCAAGAGTGCTAAGCATTGCACCTGACTCATACAGTTCATTCAAAGAAGGTCCTTCCAGACCAGAATAATCTTCTGGCACAAAGTAATGACCTTTTTCGAGCACGACGACTTTGTGACCTGATTTTGCAAGGATTGCTGCTGCAACACCTCCTCCACATCCAGAACCAACAATCACAACATCACATCTTATCTTAAAAGTGTTGTCTTTTGTATCCTCAGTAAGAGGAACACCTTTCTTGGTTAAGGATTCTTTCAAGGTTTCATCACTCTCGTTTATGGTTTCCACAATCCCTTTTTCAAGTGGTCTTTCTTTATGGTATTCAGATGGAGTCTGTCTTGTGTCTGGATGATACCCAATAGCTTCCCATGCTGGATTCTTGAAATTTTCATCAGTCTGCACAGAACCAACCAAGTATCCAAAGTCAAGGATAGTTCCAATATGTTACCATCAAAATTCCACAAAAAGACCAATGATTCATTAATGCATTCATAAACAGAAACAAAGTCCAATAATTGAGGCCTATCACTAATTTCATCCTTTTAGCCAGATTCAGTTCCTTTTCTAGTTTCGGATAAAAACAAGGTCATTATCTTGAAAAAGTATGATGGGCTATTAAAATATTTTAAACGCATGTGCAATAATTAAGTAGGACACAGAGAGGAGCATTACCCATGAGAAGAAGATGAAGAAACTCATAATTTTGATCAATAAGAAAGTAATTCTTAGTGGAAGGAGAAAACTCTCTCTGGACCATCTTTGCAGAAGAGGTTCTCTTTGCTTTAAGGATAATTCAGAGAAGTTGTGAACAAAAGGCCGTCTTTTATCCAAGCATACACGTCCACAAAGCACAAGACTCCCTAATCTTGTTGATAACATAAACACAACTATCCTTATTATGAACATTGCCTCAGGCTTGCTCCTCTTCACCAGTAGCTCTGCAACCTATTCACCAACCAATCAAAACAAATAATGGAAGATATAGCAAAGAACAATGCTTTATGCTAAACACAAAAAACCCATCATATTAAAAGAAGAATCTTGTTTGTCTTTTCATGAGACAGTAAACAACAACAAAAAAAAAAGTTGGAAAAATTTACCTCATTGTGGAATGGAGGCTGAGAACCAGAAGAAGAAAAGAAGGAATCTTGATGATCATATGGTGGAGGAATGAGAGTTTCACAAAAGGAAGCAATAGTTTGGATTTGAGAAGAAGAGAAGCCATGGCTATAAGGACTACTAATTCTTCCTCCTTTAAATGAAGAATGTGTCATCTTTTTTTTTTTTTTCTCTTGAACTGATAATGCTTTTGTTTTAGTCCCTCAGCTTTGTATTTATATTCACTCCTTATCCTTGTTGTTTCTTACTTCTGACTTCTGATTTAAGATTTGTGTAGTTTAGAATTAGAATTATCATTGGTTTTGACGTCTTGCTAATTTAATTTCGATACACTAGGGATCCCTTTCCTAATAGACTATTAATTCGATGTTGATATGGCATTAATGAAGAAATTTCAAGTATAAGGATCCATCCCTCTTTTAACTTCCTGTCTCAATTTGTTTCAGATAATTAAAAACAAATTACAACTTTTTATAATGAAAAATATTTAAACAACACATGTTGTGCTCCAATTTTTTTTATTCAACTTCCAAGGAGCATCAGTGTCACCAATATAGAACATATGGAGTACTATTAGTTTTGCTATTTCGAACTACAAAACATCAAATTATAGAATTTTACACGTGGTCCTCTATGAAAATTACTTACTAGCACATGGCACTTACATTAAACTATATTAACTTAATAACTTATCGATTATGTAATAAAATGAGGTTAAAATCATATTAATTAAATTAGGTTTAATTGATAAACGTTTAGTTTCTCCTGTACTACTTCCAATCTTTCACGTTAAACCAAAAAAAAAAAAAAAAAAAAAAAAAAAAAAAACGTTTTCAGCAACAAAAAGAAGTTAGAACCAAATTACTATAGGTGCCTTCTGTTCGATGGAGGAAAAAAGGCAAGTTACATATTTAGCCGATCGATCAAAAATAATTATATTTACTAGCTAAATATATATATAAATATAAAATATGTATATTATATAAAAATATATATTTTACCGGCTGTTATCTTTTGGGAGCAACTTAGTTTTCCCAACGAAGACTCACGAGCCTCCATCTTATGTTTCTAATCAATCCTTTTCTAAGTTCTTTTCTTTTCTAAATTGCGGCTTTCTGATTAGTGTACGTGATAATGTCATCAATGAAAAAGAGATAATTTTTTCGAAGGTCAGAAATAGTAATAAATATGGTTTTGACATACGAAATTTTGTAGTTGAAATTTTTTAATTTCCTATAGGGTTGGGATCCTATTCCTACTAGGCTATTAATTAGTTGAAGTATTAGAATTGTAATCCAACATTGCTCATCATTTCTGGTACTTTCTGGTATTCTCTAATACTAACAACACTTTTGGAAATTGTGTTAGTATCTTCGAGATCTATATATCCAAATTAAAGCAATAAAAATTAAGCGTCATACATTTATAAAAAGTTAGAAAAACTTGGGGAAAACAAGAATATGTGTATTTCGGAGCATCTCTCATTTCTAGTGCAAATTTGAACGAAAAATTAGGAATGAAAGAGAGTTACTGCTTTTATTGTGTAACTAGTATAGTGACATTAGGAATTTAATAACCATTGAAAATTGTTTGTTTCTTCAAGTTATGTTTGAATTATTTGATTACAGCAAATTTAATTTGAGCAACTATGGTAGAGGTTAGGCAGCTTAGAGAGTTTGTGGTAGAGGTTAGGCGGGTGAATGATAGATTAATGACTATCAAGTTGGTGGTTGGTGAGTGTATGTTAAATGTAGTTAGCGTGTACGCGCCGCATGCAAGCTTGGATGAGGAGATTAAAAGGCGCTTTTGGGAGGGGTTGGATGAGATCATGCGTAGTATTCCGCCGGCCGAGAGGTTATTCATAGGAGGAGATTTTAATGGTCACATTGGGTCTTCTGCAGGTAGTTATACTGAGGCGCATGGCGGCTTCGGTTTTGGGGAGCGGAACGGAGGGGGTACTTCGCTGTTGGACTTCGCCAAGGCATTCGAGCTGCTGATTGCGAACTCGAGTTTTCTGAAGCGGGAGGAGCATTTGGTTACTTTTCAAAGTTCGGTGGCGAAGACTCATATTGACTATCTCCTCCTCTGGAGATGTGATAGAAGGTT